GATGATGAAAAAGAAGCTGCAGCTGCTGATGAAGAAGAGGAGGCCTCTGATGAAGAGGAGGAGGCATCTCCTGAACCCGTTTCCACCTCAGACGATGAAGAGGCGTCTCTGTCTCCTGATTCCGATGGCGACGTTCTCGTTGTTGTCATAGACAGCGATGAAGACTCGCCTGACGATGATGACGATGTCAAAGATGAAGATGACAGCAGTGACGATGCGTTTGTGGATTCCTCAGAAATCAGTGACTCAGCACTTCTGTCCAGTGAGGAAGATGATGAAGATGACAGACTAGCAGCGACGTCAGACAGCGATGATGTCATCGCAGAGGACACTGAGGAAGACTTGGATCTAGATCTTCCTCACATAGCAGTTTCTAGTGATGAAGAGGAAGATCTTAAAGTTAAAGATGAAGAAGATCTTTCTCCTCTACCACCTGTCGATGATGGTGATGATGATGATGAAATAAAGGTTTCTGAGGAAGATGAAGATGATCTGGACCAATCAGACGACGTTTCTGTGGCTTCCTCTGAACTGTTTGCAGATGATGAAGATGAAGGTAAAGATGAAGACCTTGATAAGGACGACCTCATCGACCTTCAGGTTGATGAAGATGAAGAAGATCTTGACAAACCTTTAGAGGAGGAAGAAAAAGAAGCAGCAGAGGAGGAAGAGGAAGAGGAAGAGGCGGACATTCTTCCTTTGGTCAGCTCAGACAGTGGAGTGTTGGGAGACGAAGATGACGACGATGATGAAGATCTTTATGAAGAATCTCTGAGTGATGATGAAGATGAAACAGAGGAAGACGATGTTGAGACGAGCTTCGATGATGAAGAGGAGAAAGAAGTGATAGAAACACTGGTTGGCACTGAGGAAGACATTGATGAAGCTGAGGATGACGAAGGTGAAGGTGAAGATGAGGAAGATGATGATGAGGAAGATGAGGAAGATGATGATGGACTTGATGACATCCTGTTGTCAGGTGAGGTCAAACTTTCATTTCCTTCATTTTTTAATTCAAAATATTCAAAAGTTTGACCGTAGATTCACAGTTTTTGGGCAAAACTTCACAAAATGACAGCAATAAAATATAAACACTGAAATTTATAGAATTAAAAAACAAAGAAATTATTTCAAAGTGTTTATTTCTATTCATTTATGTTTTCTGCTATAACTTTAAAAATTATAATATTGCATGAGACCAAAAATAATAAATTTACGCCTTGCTGGGCTTAAACTTTTAAATGTGCTGCAGTTATGTCTGTTGCTCTATGGTACTTTTTTCTTCCACTCAACTTTTCCTTATGCAGAATTATGCAAACTGGTTTTCTTTCTTTTTTTAGTTTCTTCTGAGAAACTAAGCTATATATTTTCATTGGCTGTAAGCCATAATTATGAAAAGTTATCAGTCTGTTTAACAAATCCAAGGAAATAAACGTGTAACTGAGGCTCATGAAGCTGCATGTGCAAATATATTTAAACGTCTGAAACCAGATTTAATTCAGCCACATTCATGTCAGTCTTAAAGTTAACATGCATATAGAAATTATATTCTATTTAATGTCATTAAATAAATATGTAGGCATTTGATCATTTACAGTACCTAAAATTAATTAATTAATTTTAATGACTGTTGTACTTTATAATTGAAGCCGCCATTGCAGCAGCGTTCACTGGCCAGGAGGAGGCAGCAAAGACCGCTGTAGCTGATGAAGAGGCTGAAGCTGATGAAGACAAGGCGGAGGAAGATGAAACGGAAGAAGCTGGTAAGTATCAGCTATAAATTATATGGAGAACTGTGTCTTTATTTTAGATTTTGAAGAGCAATGTAATCACTTAATGAGAGATAAAGACACAAATAAAAACATGATTCATATTTTAAATAATTTTACAGATTAAATCTGCACTAGAACTTCTGACGGCTCTTAAGAAGATCTCAATGTTTTTTAGTTTGTTTGTTTATAAGTGTTAGTGTTTTGTTTGGTTCCCATCAGAGACCAGCCAACCTGCTCCTCCCAAGGAGAAAGATGAAGAAGAAGCTGAAGAACCTGTTTCTAAGCCTCAGAAATCCATCGACAAATCCGAAGATAAGGAAGAGGAGTACGATGAAGATGGAGACGAAGAAAAGGCCACAGTAGATGTGATTAAACCTGTGCCTGAGCCAGAGGAGGAAACACCCAAAACAGAACCAGCAGGTTAGAAACTGAGCCTGAGGAGGTGAGTTTTTACCTTATTTGTTTTTGTGTAACTTTAATTTTTGTGCTTTGTGATTTTCAGAGTGTCCCTGCATGCACTCTGCAAAGACGAAAGAGACTGTTACCAAGACTGCAGATAAAAAAGGTTTGTTTGCATTCATGGTTAATTCATATACAAAACCGACACACACCCTGTGGAAAAATGCATCTTTGATTTTCTCAGTTTAAACTTGAGCAGCTGAATTTAATCACAAGTGAAGAGGAGTATCCTCTTTATTTGTGCAGTGCCTTGGAAAACGTATTTATACCTCTTGCACTTTGAATACCCCAAAGTCGAGTATAAGTTTGTAGCTGGACAAAAATGCAGGCAGTAGAATGGGATTGCTATTTAATTATATATTAATAAAGGTTAAGAGAAAATAACGAGATGATGAGAAAAATATGGAAGAAACGAAATGCAACAGAGTCAGTGGAAAACAACTGCTGAATCTCCATTGACCATAAAATTAAGCAAATTTGAATTACGAAAATAAATTTGCTTAATACCCCGCCTCTCGCCCGGAACGTTAGCTGGAGATAGGCACCAGCACCCCTCCCGACCCCACTGAGGGACAAGGGTGTTCAGAAAATGGATGGATGGATGGATGGAAATTTGCTTAATGGAAACACACCAATTTTTTAATAAAAGATTTTTGTACTAAGATTGCAACGTCTTTCAGCTGGATCAAAATCAGTGTTTTTTGCAAAATTGCAATCCAAACACTTTTTTCACATCACACAAGTCACATGATCAACAACCTGATGTTGCTACTGGTGGAAAAAATGAAGAAGACAGGAAGGGATACGAGGATGTTTGCAAATTACCCATTGCATGAACAAACTTAGTGATTTTAATCACATTTCTTATGTAATGGAAACATTACAATTGCAAAATTGTGGGGTTTTTTTTATTACTAAGAAATAAAAGTTTTGTGCACATTTGTAACTGAAACTCAGCTGATGAGAACTGAAGAGCTCAGCTAGGAAAAATGACAAAGGAGACAGAAGAGCTAATCATAGGTGAGTGGATGCAGCTGAATGGTAGACTGAGGATGAGGTGAAAAATAAACAAAGAAAAGAGAATAGAAGGAGAAAGGAACCCTTAACCTAATACAATCAATAACAAGAAAGAAATAGTAATCTAACAAAACAAATCCAAACAATGAGAATAAACAAACTAACATAAAATGGAAAGATAGAACAAAGAATAAAGAAATGAACAAGACAGAAAATAAAATACATTTACATTTGTGGTTGTATAATAAAGTATTAAAAAGTTCAAGAAGTATGAATATATTTACAAATCAGAATTCATAACCTCTATTTTTGATATTTTTAGGATTATAATTTAGTGTTTATCTGTTAGATGCTCCCAGGAGGGTGTCGGCTGTGCGACGGAAAAAAGGTAATTCTAAAAAAAAACTTTTTTGTTTTAATAAACAACCAAATCTTTCCAAGTACAACAAAATAGTTTTCTAACTTATAAAAGTAAAACTTATAACTTTTACTTTATAAAAGTTATAAACTTTCTTAAAGTTTATAACTTTAAGGAATTATGATGCATTGAAAAATGTCTTTAAAATTCATTATTCCTGTTCATTTATTTGTGTTTTACTTTAAGAACAGGAAGCTGTGAAGAAGACAGATGAAAAGCCAAGAAGACAAGGTAATACCAAACACTGTTACATATGTATTGTCTAGGCATAATTACTTCAACTACGCTCCGATGTTTGGTCCAGCTCTTCCTAGATTTCCGGCTCTGGAGCCAAAAGCCAAGAGAATCCGAAGATTAGGTCCTCTTCTGAAAGGTATCCAGAAAATATGAACGTCTCAGCATTCATGCACACTTATCGATAAATTAGTGCCAGACAGCAGTGAAATTATTTTAATCCATTGATGAAAATACTGAAAATATTAATATGAATTTTATTTTATAAAGCTAAGATTAAACAGAAGAGCAAGATGTCAAAAACAGGTAAGCAAGTCAAATACACAATGTTTTCACAAAAGAGGGGATATTATTTTTTTCCCCTTCATTGGACTATTTTTTATCACCAGTGATAGAGACCAAGCAACAGGAAGAGACCACAGAGTCTGCACAGGAAGGTAAGCAAAAAATTATATTCTTTTTTCCTCTTTTGTTTTCTAATTAATATATCAAGTTAAAAAAAACACAAATTACATTGCTCTCTTAATTTTGTGGCTACAGATTTAATTTAGTTTTTTTTTTTATTTTGTTGATTTTCTAGTCCTTATTAAAAGCTCAAACAGCCTAAACACATTTGCAAACACCTGCTCTTAACTGAAAAACTTCATAATCACACCATTCAAGGATTTTGAGGAAATGATTCAATGTTTATAAAAAACACACATGAAAACAGATCAAGATTAAATATAAGAACATTTTCCAGTATCCGGTAAAGATTGACTACAATGTACAACTGACTTGTTCTGACTTAAACCCTTAATTAGCTTTAACTTTCTGTTTGAGTTGTGATGCTTTTATTTTGAAGCGCCACCTTCCTACGCAACGGCAGCTTAACGGCAATCAAAAGAAAGAAGAGAAGTTGAACCGTAGATTATAAAATGTATCTTGTTATTCGCAGCCCCTTGACGAAGGCAAAAGGTATTTATGATGCAAATAATTATATGTTTTAAATATTGTGTGACAATCATTGACAAAAAACATTGGTTTATGATCGACATATAGCGGCCTGAACAGGACTAGCTAAACCTGCTCTGGGTAAGGCTAGCTGCATACAATGAATCACCATGGTAACCAGTAACCGCTACTGCTTCGGTGCTGGGATATCCGGACAATACAGATGTTCTGTCTGTGAAACAGTCTTCTGCTGAAATGTAACTTTGCTTGGTGCATAAAATTAAACAAAAAAATAATTCTTCAGTCAGCTAAAGAAGCAAAGACAAGGAAAAGAAAACTATGTTTACATTTCAAATTTGAAATTTTGAATGTCAGCAGTTAGCATACAGCCTCAAATATTTCTTGCAGCATAACTAAGATTATCCATTTCATTATCTACAATTGTAACACAAAGCATTATTATTGAGCTAGTTTAAGAATCTGATGTACACACAAGTGGTAGATCTTCAAACATACAAATTACATATGTACATAAGATGTGTTTTTGACTTCTATTTGGCAGCATATGTTAAAAGAACTTAGGTGATGTATTTGGAAAAATACAGTCACACATACATTTTGACCTTCTGTATAAAAGAAAAAAAAGCAACTGACCTGAAATGATATATTAACTTCTATCCTGCCTATTTGACTCCAGCTAGTTTGGATTACATGAGGAAACTTTAATATGCATTTCATTTTTGCTGCAGTCAGTCCCTGCAGACCTGCTCCAGTTTACTGCCCGGCCCCCCCAGGATGGTACGGTAGGTCACCCTCTAATAATAACATACATGAAATGGCTAAAAATCTGTAAAAGATGGTTTGCATCATAATTTAAGTAAGCCATCCATTTGCTGAAATTGTCTCTATTTTTCAGTTCATCACATCGTCACAGACAATCCGTACCCTCCTCCAACCATGTCAGGTATTCACACTGATGTGGGATCAACTCTGATCTGATATTTTTATTATAAAGTTTATTTGATAGGGACAGACGCACATCGACATAGACAAACTGAATAAAACAGCAGTCCCATGTTTGCATCATGGTGCAATAGTAACAGCTAATTCGCAACACTTGTCCCTAGTTGGGCTTTTTAAAAAATAACTCTAAAAATTGAAGTGATAATTATTTAAAATAGCACAACAATGTATACAAACAGAAAAATGTAAAACATCAAAAATGGATACAGTTCTGTTTTTGACATAACCAGAGTTTTGTTTGATTTTTGAACGTACTAAAACTGGTTACAGACTTTAAATGAACAGGAAGTGAGTTCCAAACTGCAGATTCTCTCACAGGCAGAGCACTTTGAGCAAAAGTGGCTCTTCAAAAGGGGACCTTACAATTTCCATCCAAAGCTGCTCTGGTAGATCTGGTATTGCCCTGCAGTCTCTGCATACAATCGCTTAATGGTGTAGGTGCAAGTCCATTTAAACACTTAAAAATCAATTTTAATACATCACCGAAAGCGAGGAGTTCCCCTCCTTGCAGTCCATCAGCTGCATCATCCCCCGTCGTTCCCTTCGCCCCCCGTCAGTTTACGTCTGTTTCCGGGCGACATTTCAGCTGCAGCTCTGTGAAGGCGTGGCAGATGCAGCAGCCCGTTGGCCGTTTACGCAAACAGAGGGAGCCTCAGGCCTTCCTCTGAGGCAGATTATATCGATGGGTTGGTCCAAATGGCTTTCCACTTGGACCTGCTTCCTTCAAGGACGTCTCCAGCTGGCACTCACTGAGAGCGTCTTTAATCTGCGACTATAATAATAGTAACAATAATAATAATGGAGGAAGGTGGGTTGCGATCTGAGAGAGGAATTCAAATGATTTATAAATAAGTGATTTATAAATGATTTATAATTTAGAGAATTTGTAAAATCCAAAATTTAACCAAAATGTGACAGTGATGGAATCTAATCGGCTTTTGATATAAAACCTTTAAGGCCCGATTATAGAGACTTGCTAATGGTTTGAGTACAGTTTGATTAGTCTGAGACCAGACAGTAGCTCCGTAGGTAAAATGTGAGGATCAGTGAGCTCAAAAACATCTCTGCACAGTGAAGTGTCAAACAATGTCTAATAATTTTAAAACAATTTATATTCGATCTAACAGTTTTGCAGATTGTATCAACATGGCTCCTAAAATTTAACTGAGCATCCAGAATTATTCCTAAATGTTTTTCTTGTGATACTTGTTCAATAGGGTCCCCATTGATCTGATGGGGATCAGATCAGATCAGATGTTCAAGGACTGTAATGATGTTTTCTTGATTGAAAAGAAAATGCGCTTTGTTTTCTTTGTATTGA